TAAAACGGTAGCTGCTTGTCCTCGCAGTGACACTATCAATGCAGCCGCCATCTCCTTTTTAGCCCAGCCATTAGCTCTAGCTGCAGCTTTAAATTAAAGGCGTTACGTTTCCCATGTTGTCTGAATGTTAAACGTGGGTGGTTTAATAGTCTTGATAGTATGTATTTGTGAAATTGGATGTTAAATATGGCTTGGTTCGATTACAGATGAGGACTAAGTAATGGTTTCGAAGCTAGTGAACAGTCGACTGACTTTTTTTACCCGAGTTTTTGCCTATACATTCACAATATTTAAATATCCTGACTTTTCTGCGAAAATGTTGGGTACAATTTACACGTCAATTAGATTGCTTGCAAATGAGAAAAGCAAATCTTAATTAAAGAAAATGCTAAAAAAAATGCGTGTGTAAGTAACTGGACATTTTAGAATTGACAATAATACCTTGGCTCCCATGTATATCATATGTGATACATAATTTGACTATCTTCTTAAACCATAGAAGAAAGTCCGAAGTTTTCTGTTATGCACTCAGTATTTTTGGCTTTAATTTTAACCTCTTACTAGTAGATGGCGGTATAGGCATGTAAAAAAATTACGTTCAGTACGTTAGATATAGCAAGATGTGTGTGTTCACTGGTGATTCACTTGGTACGCGAAGGAACTAGAGAGTTAATGGTTAAAATCTGATGGTAAGTTTGAGATTAAATTCTTATTGTTCAATTTATATTTTACGTAGATCAGCAAAAAACAGTGACATCGAGGAACAAAATTCTGAAGGGGATTCATCAGCCGAAGAACCTTTTTCTGCTTCAGATTCTGAATATGAACCATCTTCAGAGTATTATGAAAGTGAATGTAGTGACGAAGAAGGTAAAACAAAAGAAAACAACAGTGAACTAGATATCAATACTATTGCAGGTGAGGAACAAACTCAAGCAGATTTTAATCAAGCAAAATGGCATCTAGTAACAGGAGATATATTAAAAATATTTGATGTACTGCAACAAATATTGAACAGGCCTACCACATTTTAAATATACAAAAAATCATCACTGATAAAATATTGACACTCATTATAAAAGAAACCAACAAAAACGCTCAGAGGCATAATCGTAATGGGAAAAACGTACTGAGGAAATTTTTAAATTTCTTGCAATCATAATGTACATGGGATTGGTGAGGTATCCTAAAATATACGATTATTGGTCCAGAAAATTCCTGTACCGGCACTGTTGGGTAAGATATATTAGGAGCCGTAATCGATTCCAGTCCATCTTAAGATTTCTCAATTTTCTTATAATTTGGCATCCGATACATTAGTAGATACTGTGACTAGACAGTACAAAAATCTAAATAAGCCTGCAGAAATAGTTTCTATAGATGAGTCAATGGTGCCGTTTCGAGGTAGAATCAGCTTTAAACAGTACATTTCTACTACTGTTTCAAAATACGGTATTAAAATATTAAAATTTTATGATAAATCGAGATATACGTATGAGTCACAAATATGTAAAGGGAAAAGTAATACCCAAATAGCAGGAAGGAAATCTAACACAATAGTTATAAACTTATTAAATGATTACCTAGATAAATAATACACTATGGAAGTGGACATTTTTTTTACTAACATTCAGTTGACAAATACTTTGTTAGAGAAGAAAACGCATGTAGTAGGTACATTGCGAGCAAACACAAAAGACGTTCCAAAAGAAGTCCTGAACGAGAAAGGAATGAAGAAAGGAGACACAAAAGGAAGGGCAAGGGATAGCATTGTTATGGAAAATTGGAAAGACAAAAGATCTGTGCGCTATTTCACAACTAGTCATACCCTGAATATTTGCGAAACTGGTAAAACAAAAACAGATGTCATCCTAATTTACCGTTTTACGTCGATCTATTTGTTGGTATCACAAAATTGCACTTGAATATATATTTGGTACATCTGTTGTAAATGCGTTGATGATGATATAACAAAACACATAAAAAGAAAGTACAGATTTCGGAGTTTCCAGAACAATTAGTCTCTGGTTTACTTGGTGAAATGCTATCCAGCATAAACACAACTGAGGAAAAGCCAAAACATGTATTGCAAGAATGTGAATAAAGAAATGAAGACAATAGAAAGAAAAGGAAATGCTGTATAGGATGCTATGAAAATTTATACGTTGTACACAAAAATTCTAAAATTGCAGCAAAATATACATCCTGTGCCAATTGTCCAGATAATCCTGCATTGTGTTTGGAATGTTTTCAAAAAAGACATTAAATTTGTATCCCTATTTTATATCCTAAACGTTTGTATATTTCTTTGTTGAAATAAATATATAAATATAACAGTAGTCATATTTAATTCCTCTCAAACTGAACTACTTTTTACTTACTTTTGTATACCACTGGTGATGCCCACTTTATCTATAGATAACTTAGTTCTTTCCAGTACCGGTTCTTCAGTTTAAATTACTTTAAATTGGAACATTTTTAAAACGAATTGCAATAAGAAATGCTCCATATCACCAGTGATACACACGGTAAAGAAGGGACCTCAACCGAACGTATCACCGGTTACTCATATGGTACCACAAAATGGAGTCTTACAAATTGGTCTTGGGAGCCAACGTGTTAAAATGGAAGGAGATATATTATCTGATTTAATTTTATTAAATATAGTTGTGGTAGCGCAGTCGTTCGACTCTGGACATCCCGATTCAAGGAGTCCAGGTTTGAATCTCACCAGAGCCGGTATTTTTCTAATTATTATCATTATTAATTATATTATATATATATATATTTTAATTATTTCTAATGCATAATGTAGAATTCCGCACTCGACCATTCATTGTTAGTTGGTGTCTAAAGTGCTGTTTCTAAAGTGAGTAGGGGAAACAGTAAAAAGCCTACATATAATACAAATTAACAAAGATTTTCCTTCCAACTTCCTGCTGATTCATAGAATAATTATCTGTATATCGCTATCATTATTGAAAACCACTACGGATCATCTTAAACTATATAATAAAATAATATTTTAATAGCCTGTCAACGTTTCAAAAACATTATTGTATAAACTGGATAGTTTAAAGAAGGAATTTTGATCAACATCTAAGATAAAATAAATAAAGATAATTCAATATTTCAATAAGAGTCAAAAGCTGCATTCTCTTAGTGTTTACTTTCTTTGTAAGTAAATTCTTTAAAGATTTGTGGCTTTCAATATATGTACAGTAAACAATACCTACACATACGTATTTCGTAAATATAGTTCAAAGTCAAAGATCATACATGTAAAAGTGAAAAACGTGGTATGTGATTCTCAAATCGAAATCGAAAGTTTTTATGTACAGAATAAAAGCGAAAAAAAAAACAATTTACACTTTTATTTTCAAACCAATAAATGTACTGAAACAAAAATTATGTAATGTTCTTTTTAAGCTGAAGAATGTTCGGACAAATGTATTACATAAAACCATTTAATGCTAAAAGATGATTCTTTGAGTAAGAAGAAAAATATTAAGGGTTAGAATGATATTTGGTTGTTTAGTAGGCTCTCAGATACAGGATAGGTGTATTTACAAAAGTAATGGGGACATAATATAGTACTTGCTTCCAATACGAGGATCTACGATATACCTAGTGTTTTAAATGCCTACTTTACTTTTTTTGTATTATTTATATTAGTAAAAAAATTTGAAAACTATAAAATGCTAAATTTTGTATTGATCTATCTGTAAGTATTAACAAAAAAAAAACTATTAAACCGTTGTATTTATACCAAGGCGAGCATGAAGAATTATTTTTTTGTACTACTTTTATTACATTAAAAATATTGTGGTATTTATTTAGTGTTCTTTAAAAACACATATCATTATAATATACATCTGACATCTGACCCATTTCTCTGAATTGTGACCTACTGTTTGTTATTCCATTTTCATTATCAATACTGTCGTAAAAAATATTATAAAAACCTATGTTAGAACTTCACATTTCTGAATTATTTAGCTCTCTAGGTATTTCAAGTTTGTTCCACACCATGTTCACGGAAAATAAAGTCATTTGGGCGTGCCGCAGGTTGATAATTGATTTTATCTCGGCACATTTCTTATTCACTATCTTAATCATGATTAGTTTGGTACCTCCACGGTTACGAACTCGATTGAACCCGCGTAAAACAATTGCAGATATTCGTGGCCTTTGAAAATGTTTGCTTTGTTAATGCCGACAAGGTACTAAAAAAAAAATAGTGATATATTGTTTCTACAGTTGGGTTGTGTCTGTACACTCGGTTGTGTTTGGACGTGATATATATTTTTTTATTGTATTTTTTTTCTGCAAATGTCATTCGACATAATCATTATTATAAATTAAGTTAAGCTTTGAAAGGTATTTAAAAATTGACGGATATTGACCGTTGTGCAAAGAGCATAAAAAATTAAAAAATTATGTTGAATGACTTGGTAAAATATTGAACAAAAAAATGACACAAATCTTTAAAACAAACAACCTCAAACAGAATATACTTTAGTTAAACAACAACAATAATTTGTTGAAGAAGAAAAGGGGGTGCATTGAACATTGCTTTGGACAGTTGAAGCAAAGATTTTCCATATTGCGTTATTCTACACAACATCGCAAAAACACTATGCGATCCAGAATTTGAAGAAGTGGAGCTTAATAACGATGCAAATAACCGTATTGGGGAAAATGCAAATGACGATATTAACATTAGAAGAAGTGGAACGAGAAGACGTGAGGAAATTGCCCATCTGATCTTTCAACAAAATTTGTAAGGTAAGTAAAACTGGTGGTAAAACTTATAATTATACTCCAAGACATGGAATACAAAATTTATTGAAAATATCATAACGAATGTCATAAATTCAAAACCTAATCATAATCCAAAAAAAACGAATACAAAATTTATTTAAAACCTAATAAAGAACAAAAATTAAGATGCAAAACCTCAACATAAATATCGCTCTATCAAAGTATGTTGGAATAGTTTACAACTGTGTATACACTTTATCATTTTCTGTAACTAATAACTCTTCCTGTTCTAACTCTCTCATCAACTTTCTTTTCTTAAGCCTCAGGACTTCTAATTGTTTTAACAAAACTAATCTTTGTAATTCAGTCGTTAATAAGTTTTGTGTTTCCGCTGTCTCCGGAAGGCGAGGTTTTTCCATTTTCTGTGATGCTGTGCTTTTTGCAGTTTCTGGAACCGAAACACATGATTCAGAGTCCAAGGAGATGTCCACCGAAGCAGCAGTCTGTATCGGTGGTGGCACGCCAACTTGCACACCACCTGATGAAATTTATTTCTATGTAATGAACGTTAATCAAATAAACATTCGATTCTTACCTAGCACTTTGCATAAAGTAGGGTTTCTGTTACCATCCATTAACTTCCAAAATGCCTGTCCCCATGGCTTCAACTTCATTTTTTTGTTACCAGTTCTATTTATATCTGCTTTCTGTTTGATTTTTGTTTTCAAGGTATTGATTTTTTAGATAATTGCTTACCACTAATCGCTTTTTCAGTCACTGCCTGCCATTCCGCTTGTAACTTTATTAACGCAATATCTTTCGCTTTTTTATAGTGGGTACTTGTGATTTTTCTAGTACCACCTTATAATTTTGCAGTAACTCTACAAATTTCACCTGATCGTTCTCTTAACAGGTCGTACTTTCTTCGTCGGAGCTCATTGCGTTGCTTATTTTTTCACATGCACTTCTCTATTAACTACAATGCATGCCTTATGCCTTTTATTTCAACCAAACATCATTCCTGTCTAAACTTATTAAAAAGTGAAGCAAACGGTCTAAATAACTATGGAGCAAAAGCAAATCATTATTCATTAGAAACGAAGCAAATGCTTCTGCTTCTACGTTTGGCCTTCGAAGGATTTTCTTTTGCTATTACTTTGTACTTCGAGCAAATGCTCCATTTTTATTTATGAGACCCAATATCTTGGATCAAAGAAAGGCTTGATATGAATTTTGGCCTTCTGGACTATCTTTTTTGTTCGCTTTGTTTTAACATGCTACCTGCGTGATAGCATTAAATGATCACCACTTAAACCATAGTTTTACCAAGTGACTCGAGGGAAGTCTTACAGTAGTTTACTAGTTGCTAGGTGGGCATAACTATAGGCATTAAATTCATAGATGTTGATGATTACAGCAGACTGTATTTTATAAATACAATTAATTACATAAATTTCACTTCTACAGTCATACAAATATTTTAAAATTTTCTATAAAGAATGCCTTGTCTCTACTATTAGCTGACCCTGTTTAAATAATGCAGTCCAGAAAAATGTATATTAACGCTAAATTTAACAACTCCCTTAATAATTTTAGTATAATCTTTATAAAAGCAAATATGCCATTAAATACAGAAACTTCATTACCAAGGGCGACAGTTAACTTATAAATAAGGTTCCTGTATTGAAAAGGGTAGCAACAATGGAAAAAATACCTAGTCGAGTTGAAATGTGATAATCTACAGTAATATGTACTCTCCACAAGAGGTGATCCAAAAAAATTCGAATTTTTGTTATACAAAAATTCTTTACTATCTTTTTTACAAAATTCCTTCAAAGTACTCTTCATGCACTTGTCTTTTTTGTTTTTTTTATGCTGTTTGAAGCATCTCTGGAACTTTCAACTTTGATATTATCCAGTGACCTTTGCTAAGCTGTTTTTAATTAACAAAACGTTTTAGTTTTAGATTTTTCCTTATTCTCGGGAACAGGAAAGAGTCGCACTGGGCTAAATCTAGCCAATATGGAGGGTGGGAAATGACAGACTATCTCTGAGAGGCTATATAGTGGGGCACTCGTAAGGCGTTGTATGCGGTGGCATTGTCGTGGTGAAGGAACCAGTCACTTATCGTCGGGCATTTTCTCTGCACATCTTCTCACAGACGTCCTTAAACTTAAAAATAATAGCGCATGTCTGACAAAGAAAATAAATTCTTGTTGCACAATTCCACGCACATTAAAAAAGACAATGATTGATCTTCGTCTTCACATTCAACCTCACTTGTCTTGCTGTTTAGAATCTGGGAGAATTAAAAGCCTTTGAATGGCTCAAATTCAATCAAATATTTTGACGATCCTCTGTGAGAAGGTGAGGAACAAATTTTACGCAAACACGTCTTATTTATGCTTAATAATTGACAGGTTCAACTTTTATGTTAAATCTTAAATTTCTTCTCTTCTATCAAATGAACTAATAAAGTATTTGGCCTTTGTTTTTAATAGATAACGGATAATGACAATTGACAATACACATAATATGATTGGGTTGTCAGATTTTATTTATAGGTTTGTTACAACAAGGTCGAAAACTATAATATTTCGGTACAAATCACTTGCTGTATGCAATTTTTATGTATCAGCAGTGTTTACAATAAAATTAACTAGTAAAAAATTAATAAAAACACGTTTAAAACTTAAATATCTTAAAAAATGTTCTAAGAACACAACTGGCTCCTTTAACACATATCACTAATACTAATACTAAATATAAAACGAGTATAAATACCTTTTTAAATATTTTGTCCAGTTTAATGCTTAATCATAATACTAATACAAATTCTAATAATAAGGAAGTGTAAATAGACCCTAAAAGAAACACAACACCATTCGCGATTCAAGCAAGTAATACGCCCTCTGGAGAAAATTTGTAGAAAATTCCTATAAGTAGGATATCGTTCAGTGTTGTTAGAAGTAGCAAAATTTCAAGAAGTTGATAAGACCTTTTATTGAAAAATCAAAATTTGTGTGTAGATAATCATACTCTATATTTATTTAAGGATATTTTTATAAAACAGATTTATTATATTTCAGTTCATTTATTTTTTCAGTTCATTATTTGGCAACATTGGCTTTCGTGTTCATTGTTTACATTTTAATTTGTATCAATTACAATTCGAGTTTTATTTACATTTTAAATTAAATTTGTTAATTTCTTATAGTATGTGATAGTGTTTATATTAAAAATCAAATCTGCCAAAAAGTCCCCAGCAAATTGCAATTCATATGGTGTTACTGACAAAATTAAAACTGAAGTTTTCATTATTTTCCAAGTACAAGTCGTAAAATTTTGTTTTTTTACGATAAATGGATATCTATACATTCACAATATTGAAATTTTGTTTGGGATCCAACTGTAATCTGATTTATGACGGTTTTATTACCATTTACATGTATACAAAGAACTACATAATTCACTTCATAATATAAGAATAAGTCTTGTAAGATTTTTAAATAAGTTCATCAATAATAAACGTTTGGTACCTGAAATATCCTTTAAACCACATAATAAAACATGTACTGGGTTTAGTAAATACATATTTCTAGATGTTCTTACAGTAACCAATAGGTGAATATTTCCAAAAAATTAAGTGATAAATATTATATTTATGACGAAAGCACGACACTTAAACTTAAATTAACACTAAATGAAACTCAAAAACACTATTGCAATGAGAATATTATCTAAAAACAATTTAAAAAATCACAAATACAAAATCCGCCCAAAACAAACACATGTAAATAAACAAACATCCTACTTATGGGTGACAAATGACAGGCGCGAGAAAATTAATTTGAATTGCGAATTCTAAAATGTTAACCTAGAAACTAACGCCATCTGCAGTTGTTTAGTGAAGGTTTCTACTAATCCCATCTAGCGGATGCATTCTCTATTACGTCTACAAAAGGCAGCGCGCTCTCAGTTCGCTCTTTTTTTGGCAAAATCTTTACTCATGACTCTGTTGTTATAACTTTTGCATGTTTAAAGTAGATTGTAAATTAACCAGTTACATAGTAAACGCATAGTAAAAAAAAAGTTCGCAAGTTTTTAAACTTTTAAATGTACAATAATCAGTTCTTTTATGAATCTTAAACATACTGGAAGCAAAAGATCAAACCAATTTAGTTTGATTGAAATTACTTCCAACCGATTAATTCCATAATATAAATCACATGACGGAGACCATCAAAACATTGATACAAAAAAAAGTATTTCATGCAGCTCGAGACGCAAAAAACCATTACAAAAAATCGATTCATTATCAGATTTTTATTGGAGGTAGTCAAACAAAGTAATGAATTGATTTTAAGTTCTAGCTGCGATTATATCAATTTTAAGCCGCAGACTTGAATCGAATGTACGATGACCTCCAAGTTCAATTATTAAATAATATTTTATAGTGATTGACGAGGATCAGATAAAGCGAATCGTCATTGGCAGTAAGCGATTCAAAACGCAACGTGAGATGAACAAAATTAAATGGCAGTGCGCATTCGTTATTGTACAACAGGGCAAGTATAAAAGTTCAGACAGTAAATAAAATCAAAGTGTAATTATTCTAAAAATATACCCTTCTGAGCGTCTACGTAATATCTAAATACTCTAAAGGGCAAATTAGCTTTCTGGGGGAAGATGGAATATTGCTTGACATTTTTTTTTACAAAATAATTTTGGACTAAAAATATTTGCCTCGAAAATACTTTCGCATAATGGCCATATTGCACGAAAACGAAATTTGAGCGGAGTGCTCAAGAGTCTGAGTGCGATATGGACAACCCACTCAAGTTGTACAGTATATTTTTTCTACGACTCACTAACGGAAATCTAAAAATTAAAAAATATATTAGGTTATTAAGACAAAATAACTAATTTTAAAATAATTTATAAATTTTACTGATTTTTAAAATAAAATAAATATTTAAAAAAATTAGTCGCCAGCCAAGAATGGATCCCCAGCTTTTTGCGTGGAAGTCAAGCACTCCGTCCATGCCTCTACGTCCACTTTTCCGATTTTGGTTTTAATAAACGTAATTAAAATAGTTTCATATAGTTTGATAATTTTTTTTTTAATATGGTTCAAATACAAATAAAAATGCTATTATTTACGATTATTTATGGATTCTACACAAAAATAACTCATTTTAATGTATATTTAATCTTAATAGTTAAATAATATACTGACAAATAGTTTAAAAGAATTGTCACTCATTTAAAATTTTAAAAATAATAGTAGTTGGGTGTCCAAAATATGAATTGAAATTAAAGAATTTAATTTTTTTTGCAATATTCTCACTACCTAGAATGGATATGAAATATATTCGTTCAGTTGAACTTAATGACATATTTTTCGTTTTGTAGTCTGTTCGTAGATAAGCTAATATCCATGTGGGTGTAGAAAAAATTATTTCTTTGAAAATAGAAGATCAGTTCCAACAACAATCAGAACCAAATTACAAATAACTATGCATTGCGCAGTATAGAATTTGACGGTTCCAATAAACTGGTTACCTTTTCCTTTTACCTACATAGCATTAGAGCTTTTGTGGGCTTATTTACTACTTCCTTCTTATGTATGTTTCAGAAAAGTTTGTGGTCCATATGGTTAGGCCTAAACATTAACTTTTTTTATTTTATATCTATCCCGTCTAATTCGACGGGTTTGCGAGTTTCGGCTCCATATTAGTGGGGTTAGAACTCTTCCTTGTGCGGATATCCTCTGGTTGTGTTGATGTAGATATGGATTACTACCCTATCTGTGTCTCTGCAGTTCTCATAGGTAGATGCTGAGCCATTCATCTGACTGTGGTGATAACTGTTCCTTTATATGCAAGTGTACTTTTAACAGATTCGTGTTGTATGTTAACAAACGCTCCTTTTATGTCTAAGTAGGCAGACACGACCGTTCTTTTAATTGTTAGTGCATCCTGAATTTCGTCAGTCAGCTGTACCAGGCTAGTTTCTGCTAATCTTCCTGCTCGGCATGCATGCTGGCTGTGGAGGTTAAGCTGATTGATCAGAATGTTTTAGGATGTGTGGTATCAATTTTATCTGTTTTTGGTTGTCACGACCCTGCAACCCATGACTTGACCATTGAATATTATGAAGTAAAACTCATCTTAAGAAGAATTCAGCTCAGATTTATTTACTGGGCTGTCAAATTCAAATCATGATCTTAGCACTCTATAGGTCAGGCTGGAAATTGTTCATTTCATTTTTGGATTGTAATAATTGATAAAAATTGGTAAATAATTAGTAAAATATAAAGAATTACACAAAAATTCTAAAAAATATTTTTTTAATATTCTAACTTATTATTTAAAAAGAAAACGCACGTATCGAAATAAACCAAAGAATTAGGTTATTACTCTAGAGAATGGACTGTAACAGTTAAATTTTTTTATTACCCCATTATAAACTTTACCACTTATAAAGTACTTTAGCAAAATTTTGCCATTTATATATCACTGGAATCTGAAAAAATAATTGTTAAAGTTGAAATTTGTATGTCCCTATAGCCCGTGACGTGTACCACTAATCCAGAAAATTTAAACTTTATTGCCAAATGTCTGCTTTTATTTCACTATTAGTACCATCTTTGTGTATTTTAGGAAGAGTGAAATAAAAAATTAAATGTTGTTATCCAAAACTCTTGCCGTAAGGCAAGACTTATTTCGGGGCTCTATACCTCCCAAAACAACTTAAGGTGTAAAGTAAAATTTTGTGCAATTTAGTGTACTACAGATAAATATTTTTAATTTATTTTAACATGTTGTTTGGGTTTGTTTTGGGACAATTAATTTTTTGATTTCCATATAAATGACAATTTTTTTAATTTTCATCCCAAATTTTATCTATCTTATTTAATATTTGTTTTATATATATTTTATCTTATATTTATCTTGTATTTAAGTTATATTTATCATAAATTTATCAATAATCATTTATTTTAATATTTATTCCTTAAAGATAAATTGATTATTAATTCTGTAATTATTTGAAATATACATTTATGTTACTATTTTAATACTTATAATTATTTTGTTCTCCCTCTTCCAAAACCAGTTATGAAATATACCTAGCATTTGTGAAGACTCGGCGTTTCTACCCTCAAGGACTTGAATAGTCTATGAATAGTTACCAAGCCGCTCGACTATGCTTGGTAATTTAAATTATTTTTATTTCCTTTTAATATTATTTTTTGCCACTGGTGAATGGATGTTCCTTCTCGATTCCAGGACCTTTTGGCTCATGACAGCGCTGCCTTAATACCTAATAGTATATAAGTAATAATAGTTAGACCTATCAGTTGTTACAAATGGGTCATTAGACTAACTGATTGTTATATTTGGTAAAAATAGTGGTCCTTCAGACTAAAAGGTTGTTACATTTGGTGAAAAGCAGTGGCCTAAAAGATTATAAGCACCCAAAATGTTGCGTTTATAGAGACACTATAATGCTTGTCCAGAACAAGACAGGTCTAACTCAAAAAAAGACATTTTTCAGAAGAGCAGAATAAAGTTTCTTCTTTTTCCTTCCTATAATATCCGTTGCCTGCGTTATCCGATTTGCACAAATCATAACAATCATAGAACTCCCTATAGATTTGCAGAAGTTTTTACCGCTCTATTTACTTTTAATATTTTTTATGAGTAATTTATGAGCAGATCTCTAAGATGTTCTTTTCATGCTCTCGAAATATTTTTTTTAAATATAACTTCAGTTATTATTAATACGTAAACGTAAAAAACTCTATTATGTCAATCTCAATCTCAGTGTTCACTATTTTTAAGACTACCTTCTATTATCTCAAGCTTAGTGGTAACTACATCTTTCTTCACACTAGGTAGGCACTTACGGATACAGTGTCTTCAATATTTTAAGAAAATCACAACTAATTATTAAACAATAATAGCATGAAAGTCAATAACAGTATTAAAGTCATGTTAATACTAATTACACCTTGATACTACAAAAAGGTACACTACTGAGCAAATTCGTTACCAGTGTAGGAAAATGCTGATGATTCTCCTTTTGTGCAACACAGGAAAGCTTGTAGGTCAAAAATTGTCATATTTTTTTCTGATCCTTCATCTGCATTTTTTCTTCCTTTTCTCTTAAGGCGTTTAGGCAGCCCAAACAAAAATAACACTGATCTTTTTTGGGGTTGTGAAAAGCAATGTTGAACTCTCTGTTGAATATGAATGCGTACCTTGCGTACTTAACAAATAATCGCCCAGCCTCTTTCTGGATCTCGGCGTAATCACGATACAGATCTGCAATCGACTTTTCTCCTTCAATGTACTTCTTTTTACTATTCGATCGGCAGTAGTGGCTTTCGAGTCGCGATATGGAGTTAATGTAATTTCGGTATCGGGGGTTGATTTCAGAAAGGCAACTGTTCAAGAACGTTCTTTGGAAATGGATATTCGAGAGGTTCCAGTATTCAGTAAAAAAATTTCTGTGCGTTTCTCCGCTTATGTTGGCTGCACATTTTAAGCGACATTTAGTTTCGTTGTCGGTATCATAATAGTTCAGTTTTACACTAGAGAATGATATGAAAAAGTTACTTACTGTTGGTTTATCACACAATAATCCGCCATTGCACAATAAAAACACACCTTCTTCCATGTGTGAAAAGAATCAACTGAGATGATTCACTCTTGCACGGCCCTCCCTCCACAAATCCAAGACGACTCACTTGGCCACGTTCTATCTAGGGGTGATCCATTAAGTTGCTTAAGAAGCGATCTACTACAGAGATAGTAGAGGTACTTTAAAGATAGATCGTGCAGACAACTCAAATTCGCATTTTTATGAGTTAGACCAGTCTTGTTCTGGACCAGCGAAGTACTTTGACAACGTCATTGCAGAGCTAAATAGAAAAACAATAGTAACTGCCAAAAGGTTTGTTAGACTGACTGTCGTGCAACTATGAATTGAACATTAACTTGACATTGGTTTGAAATCAATGGCATGCGTAGTTTAATTTATTACTTGTAATTACAAATATATTTTTAAAATAAGCGTTTAGAACTTACCTCAATAAATAAAGGTACTGTGGAACGTTTTTTTATGTAGGTACTTATTATAAAAATACATTTTAAGAAATTCACACATGTTTTTCTTAGAACTGCTTTTGTCATGATCAAGTAACATATTGTACTCTTGTTTATTTTTAAAGGTTAATCCCGCGAAAATTGTATTATGTAATAAATTAATGGGTTTGATCTAATTTTATTTTCTAAGTTTATTTTCTTCTTTTTAGAGCATTTAAATAAAAGCTTGTTTTTAAAAATAGTTTTTACTATTAATTTACGAGGGTCATTCAATAAGTAAAGAGACAAATGGCTATAGCTCAAAACCGGTTTATTTCAATCTTTCAAAATTAAGGCTATTTTTCAACATATTCACCCCCACAGTTATGCACTTGTCCCATCTTTCTTGCCGCTTCCTAATTCCCTTGGCGAAGAATTCTTTCGATTTACCCCGAAGACCCTTTTGCACCGCTTCCTTAACTTCCTCATTGTTAGCAAATCTTTTTCCACGTAGGGCGTCTTTGAGTGGTCCAAACAGGTAAAAATCAGATGGAGCGAGGTCAGGACTGTAGACAGGATGAGGTAAGACCTCCCAACCCAATTCTTGAAGCTTATTACGGGTCAGCTGGGCTGTATGAGGGCGGACATTACCGTGCTGAAGAATGACTCCTTGTGACAAGAGTCCACGGCGTTTGCTCCTGATAGCTTGTCTAACTTTGTGTTCTAGCATCTCAGAGTAGTATTGGCTATTGATAGTTTGTCCGCCATCTTGGGGCGTCCGCCATCTTAACAAGTCCGCCATAATGGATTTATAATGATGGTACTTTTTTTCACTCTTTCAGGTATCCTTTTGCTTTCCCCCTAGGGATTCCGGCACACTCCACCCAATTAAGTTTAGGTCCAGTCACTGGTTTCCCTCAGTCAGGCTCTACTTTCTCTCCTCTTAGGGTTCGCATACCGGCACTGAGACGCCTATTGTGCCACTGTTTGGATGCCCTACTCCTTCCCATCCATCATACACTCATATAGAAAACTTTTTCATTATTAACTTTATTAAAAAAATGTATTCTACAATTCTGTACTTTTAACAAGTTTAGTTTTTTAATAAAAATTTAAATAAAATTAGGTAATAAAACTACTCAAATAGTTTTAGTTTTAATATTTTCAAAATAACACTAATAATTTTGGGATTACATTTGGCATATACGTAAGTTGGCTACATAGAATAATTTTTTTATTATTAGTTTTATCAAATTCTTTATAAAAAGGCCTGCATAGTCTAAAACCTGAAATTTAACCATCAGAGATTAAATTTTTTAAGCCTTATACGAGAAGCGTCAAAAAATATAACTTTTGCTCAAGTGTAAAGTACCTTTATTTTTAACTTATACGACTGATTTGGTATCAGATGATTAAATTTTAGGTTTTTCATTATAAAGAACGTTTTATAAAATTAACTTTTATGTCTTAAAATTAATAACTAATTAAAAAAAGTTTTTTATATGCCGCTAACTTACGTAGACAGTTGGCGGCGACATATGGAAAACTTTTTATTTTTATTTGTAGGAAAAAATGTATTCTGAACAAAAATTTTTTCATGGTCTGAAACCTAAAATACAATCATCAGATATCAAATTTTATAAGTGGTATACGAGGTTTGTCAAAAATGAATGTACTTGATTCTTGGCCAAAAATTATTTTATTGACAAATCTCGTACACGACTTATAAAATTTGATATGTAATGGTTGTATTTTACGTTTTAGACCTTGCTTAATTTTTAATAAAGAATACATTTAAAATATTAAAAAAGTTTTCCAAACAGAAAGTTTAGATACACTGTATATGCCAAATGTAATTCTAAACGTAATTACTGCATTAATTAAAAAAAAAACATTAAAACTATTTGAAAAATTTTATTACACAATTTTATGTTAAATCAGTTTTTAAGAATATTTTTTTTTTTTTTTTAATAAGGATTATTTCGAATACACCTTCAAACGATGTGAACTAGAAAGATGACCCAAGTAACAATTTGATATTTTATAAAAGCTGAAAAAATGTTTACAGAACAAAATTTATAAAATAGAATATTAGCTAAGAACATTTCCGGAACATTCTTTCAACAGTAATAAACACAAAATGGGCGCAGTATTACAGAATTATTTGGTTCTTTTGTAAATTCTAAGATTTGTTGAATGCAGTTACCGAACAGTTACTACACATTTACACAGACTTTAAACAAATGTTTTTTTAAACTTTTATAACTGTTTTATAAATTTTCAATTTTGAGGTTAGGTTGCATATCAAAATCAGTAACATTTTAGTTTTTTAAATGTATCTGGTGAAAACAAATTAATTCTATATTTGTCATAAAAGTAAATTCAAGGCGATATTAGTAAAATGGCAGTATCTACTTAAGAGATATCTATAACGCGGTTTAGACATAATGTATGACCTACAATAAAGTCGTTTTTGGATGCGCAGCAAGAATTACTGTTAATTATATAGCACATACAATACTAAATTTTTAAGCGCCTCGAGTTTGATTCATATTTCTAATACTTTTTCAGTGTGAAACAAAAATTAAATTTATGCAATTTGATTTTTTTTAGTAATAAGATTATGCTAATATTACTAATGATTAAAATCTTTAATTAACATTGGTTTTGTCTTAAATACTAGTAAAACCGACAGTAGATTTAGCTTTAAAACTGTCTTAGGTTTTTGTTAAATATGGCGGCTATTCAGAGGTATTAGAAAGTTATTTTAAGACTGAATCATAATTATAAAATATTATTGTAGTAAAAACAGCTGTAATACAATAATTAAGTTGTATTACTCATTTCTACAAAACAAGTTCATCATGGTTTGTTGTATAATAGTTTCATATTGCTGCACTATATGACAAAATATAACATAACCTTACTAAATCGTTTCCGATTTAAGTATTTGGGAATTGAAATGATTAGATTTGTTTCTACAGCTTTATAGAGCAAGCATAATTTTTAATATTATGAGAATAAGCAAATTTAACATGGACATCGCCAAAAATATGGCTTTCTTTTAGTATTGGGGCATGATTATTCAGAACATACCTAATTATTATCTGGCTAAATGATAGTTTTTTTTTTTTGAGTGTCTAGACAAACCATCAAAATGTTTTACTAATTTTTTTTACCGTTCTCTGAAAAGCAGGTACCACTTATTTTTTATATTTCTTCACTATTTAAGTCTGACATTTTCAGACCATACACTCACATACAATTGGTATGGGAAGTAGTTGAACAAACATAAAATACAAAAATAATATGGCGTAGGTACTAATAAATGTAGTTGCTTTATTTTTTTATAAATATTTTTAAAGGGATAATACTATTCTTAACTAAAATAATTGCTATACAGTTTTCTGATTTGTAATAGTGTATTTCGACAATATATTACAGTTATTTTAGAGTTTTTATCGGAAGCAAATTGCTATTGATGCGGAATTATCTCACACTAATATTTATATAACTATTTTTTAAAGCGTTATTATGAGGTTAAGAAACAGTTATATTTGTATGACCAAAAAGTTCTAAAGGTAATCCTGAAATATTGTATAGAACAGTTGTATAAATGTTTATGTAACAATTTCATAGTTATCGTGAAAACTATTTTATAATTTTGCTGTAAGAATATTGTAAAAACTAATTTATATAACTATTTAGTTTCAGAGAACAAAATAATGATTTCTGCAACTGTAGTACAATAAATTAGCATTCCAGAAACAGCAATATAATATCAATAAAATATAATATAGTCTTGTAAACTAAAAATTATAAAGCTACTTTGTTAGTTGGGGACGTTCTTTTATTTAAACAATTTTAAACTATTTGTATTAGTCCCTATAATTTTATAATTGACTGCACCTGAAGATGGAAAAAGTTTTACTTTCTGAAACATATGTAGTGTGCTAAACAATAAAAAAAAAATATTTGACCGATAAAACCATGGAAAATTTTTATTTATGAATTTGTTTTTTGTTGTAGTAACAATAGTTTTTATTTTTTAATTTTCGTACACTATGTATTTTTGGCTATTCTTGAACAAACTTTTTTTTCAGAAAATTATGAATATACCTCATTCAAGTTAACATTAATTAGTCAAATAATACATATATTGAATAGCTTCTTGAATTACTCTCCAGGAGCAGATGTCGAGTATTTAGCTGATTACATATTGTTAAAACACAATGGATGAAAGCGAAATAACATCATCATTACTTTCTTCCATTAAGACTTCATATAAATTTATCGAGGCATTCTTCTGAGACACATTTACATACATAAAATAATTTTAGCGTAAATAAATCATTGTAGCATAAAAATTTTGTATCGACGTAGACAACGCTTAATTAATTAAATGAGAAATAATTACCATAACCTTAATTAACGACGTAAATGCAACTTTGATTTTATCTGAAAGCAAGTGCTTTATTTTTATTGGAAATCAGACAAATGTACCAGTAAATATTTCATTTATTTTTTATTTGTTCCTTATATTGTTAAAAAAAATACCTATATTAAGTAGCTATATAATAAAGGAAATATTAA